CATTAGGCCACAAAACAATTCTTAACAAATTGAAGAATACTGAAATCATATAAAATATCTTTCATGATCACAATGGAATGAAACTAGAACTCAACAGCACAAGGAAAACTGCTACAAATATGTACAAATTAAATAATGCATTTTTAAATAACCCATGAGTCAGAGAAGAAATCATGAGCAAAATTAGAAAATACCTTGAGAAATATGAAAATGAAAACACAACAGACCAACTTATGGGATGTTAGATGTAGTGTTATGAGAGAAGTTTATAGCTGTAAATGTAAACATTAAAAAAACAAGAACAATCTCAAATCAACAACCTAATTTTATACTTCAAGAAACTAAAGAGCAAATTAAACCCAAAGCTAGCAGAAGGAAGGAAATAATAAAGATTAGAACAGGCTGGGCGCGGTGGCTCACACCTGTAATCCTAGCACTCTGGGAGGCCGAGGTGGGCAGATTGCTCGAGGTCAGGAGTTCGAAACCAGCCTGAGCAAGAGTGAGACCGTGTCTTACTATAGATAGAAAAAATTAATGGCCAACTAATATATATAGGGGAAAAAAAGATTAGAACACAGATAAATGAAGAAGAAAACAGAAAAAATAGGGGGGAAATCAAAACTGAGTTGGTTTTTTTTTAAAGATCAACAAAATTGACAAACTTGGCTAGATTAATGAAGACACAGAGGGAAGATTCAAATAACTAAAAGAAATGAAGTGAACTGAAAAAGGGGAAATTAAAACTGAAGCCACAGAATTACAAAGAATTATAAGAGAATACCATCTCAAAATTTATTTTAATTAGCTGGGCATGTGGCATGCACCAGCAACCAGAAGGCTAAGGCAGGAGAATCCCTTTTTTTTTCTGAGACAGAGTTTCACTTTGTTGCCGGGGCTAGAGTGCCGTCAACCTCAAACTCCTGAGCTCAAGCGATCCTTCTGCCTCAGCCTCCCGAGTAGCTGGGACTACAGGCATGCGCCACCATGCCGGCTAATTTTTTCTATATATATTAGTTGCCAATAATTTCTTTCTATTTATAGCAGAGACGGGTCTCGCTCTTGCTCTGGTTGGTTTTGAACTCCTGACCTCGAGCAATCCACCCACCTCAGCCTCCCAGAGTGCTAGGATTACAGCGCGAGCCACTCGCCCGGCCTTTCTATATTTTAGTGGCAATCAATTATTTCTATTTGTAGTAAGACGGGTCTCACTCTTGCTCAGGCTGGTCTCAAACTCCTGACCTTGAGCGATCCACCACCCTCGGCTCCAGAGTGCTAGGATTACAGGCGTGAGAGAGAATCCCTTGAGACCATAAATTCAAGGATGCAGTGAGCTACAATTATACCACTGCACTCCAGCCTGGGCAACATAATGAGACCCACTCTTTAAAGAAAGGGGAGGAGGTAAGGACAGAAGGAGTCAAATCAGGAATACAAGGTAGATGCCTAATTTCCCTAGAAACTCTCCCCAAATTGCCCTTAATGAGGAAATGTTTTGAGCAGGAACATCGCTCATGGAGACTCTGGTAAGCCTTCCCAGATGTTTTCAGCAAGCTTTGGCTTTTTCAAAACACTTTCATAATAATAAAAATTTTATTGCTGTTGCTGCCTCCCCAGAAAGTCAACAAGGAAAACGCTTGAGCATCTAAAAAACTACTGCCACAACTCTTGCTCTTGAGCAATCTGCTTTTGACTAGACCACTTCTACCTCTTTTAGCCATTGTTTTCATCGTGCTTGTCTTCAGGATATACTAGTAAAGCCATGTTTCATCTCCTGTGACAATTATTAATGAAACCCTTGAGATCTACATCCCATTTGTTTAAAATTTCCAATGAAAGCTCTGCTCAGCTGCAGCTGAGCTGGCACAATGGTTTTGGCACCTACCAAACGGAAAGTTTGCTGAACTTTAATTTTTCAATCAGAATTGTGTAAGCTGAACCAATTAAGATGTCTATGGTAGGCTGGGCAAGGTGGCTCATGTCTGTATTCCTAGCACTCTGGGAGGCTGAGGTGAGAGGATCGTTTGAGCTCAGGAGTTTAGACCAGGCTGAGCAAGAGCGAGACCCCGTCTCTACTATAAATAGAAAATTACCAACAAACTAAAATAGAAAAAAAAAAATTAGCCGGGCATGGTGGCGCGTGCCTGTAGTCAAAGCTACCTGGGAGAAAAAAAAAAAAAAAGCTACCTGGGAGGCTGAGGCAGGAGGATTGCTTGAGCCCAGGAGTTTGAGGTTGCTGTGAACTAGGTTGACACCACAGCACTCTACCCCAGGCAAGAGAGTGAGACTCTGTCTCCAAAAAAAAAAAAAAAAGATGTCTATGGTGTTGGCCATTGTTTCTGCTGTTAATCACCATCCTCTTCAATTAGGGCACCAACAAGATGAAGTTTCCCTTGCAAATTGATGTGGATGATCTGCTGCTACAGGCTACATCTTCAACATTGTCTTTTCCCTTCTTAAAACAAGTTATCCATTTGTAAACTTGTGATTTCTTTAGAGCATTTTCCCCATAAACTTTTCATAAAGCATCAATGATTCATGATTCATAATTCTTTTTTATTTTTTGGCCCCACTGACCCATCCTTGATTTTACCATTCTTCCACCCAAGTTTCACCACAAATTTGTTGTTTGTTCTTGTTTCCATTGTGGCAGAATTCATGTTGCTCTGAAAGGGGTTTCTTTTCAAACTGGTGTCTTATCCTTCTTAGTGTCTCAAACTAGATCCTGTTTAAACATGTTATAACAAGTTAGTACAAGTTTATTTTGATGGAAAAGAATTTTGAAATCCATGCATATTTTTTCATAATTTGCATTTTTCTGTGAACTTTTTGAAGACCCCTCATAGAACCAAACTTCTCCCTCCCAAGCTATTTCTTTTTCTTTTTTTTTGAGACAGAGTCTCGCTTTGTTGCCCAGGCTAGAGAGTGCAGTAGCGGCAACCTAGCTCGCAGCAACCTCAAACTCCTGGGCTCAAGCAATTCTACTGCCTCAGCCTCCCGAGTAGCTGGGACTACAGGTATGTGCCACCATGCCCTGCTAATTTTTTCTATATATATTAGTTGGCCAATTAATTTCTTTCTATTTATATTAGAGATGGGGTCTTGCTCTTGCTCAGGCTGGTTTTGAACTCCTGATCTCCAGCAATCCGCCTGCCTCAGCCTCCCAGAGTGCTAGGATTACAGGCGTGAACCACCTCGACCGGCCCCCAAGCTATTTCTTTACAGTAGTTTCTATGGAGGAAACCAAAGCACTAACAGGGTCTTATCTGGTAAGGAGAAAGCAGAGAAACAATCCTTTTCTTTTTTGAGGAGCAGCTACTGTAAAGGAGTTAATGCACAGTACCTAGATTCAAATCTAAACCCAAGCTCTACCATATGCACTGGCCTAATAATTTTGAGCAAATTACTTTTGTTTAAGCATTCCCACCTGTGAAATGAAGGAAACCTGTGAAATGAGGGAAATAGTACTGATCCTCATTGTAGAGTGAGTGGTTACAAGTACAGTATAAAGCTCTTAGAACAGTGTGTAGCATATTTAAATGTGCACTAAATGCTATTATTAAGTATTCAGGAGCACAGACTGGACCCCATAAAGATAATTCAAAGGACCATAAAATCAGTTTTCCTATTACAGTTAATTTTTTTAAAACATACCTCATTCACTGTCTCCAGCACACAAACAGCAAAGCAGGGAGACACACGTATAGCCCGAGTGAGAAGACACTGAAACACCAGATTATAAATGGCTTCACAGCACAGAATGACAGGTGCACAGGTCAAAGTCCTTTCAGTCACTGCGCCCTGAGATATCGCGGTCAGAGTTGCGAACAATCATCTCCTACTACCAAATGGAACGAATCAGCAGAGGTACTTCGGAACCAAGCGAGAATGTACAACCAGATTTAACGTCCTGTATAAATCTGTCAAGAAAACGTTCTGGGGGAAGGATGCATAGGAAAAAGATCTGGACATCAGCATTTGGTAATGTCTTCTTGGATCTTCCTGACAAATGCATTCAAACTGACCTGGGTGTGGTGCGCTCAGGCTCACCAGAGCACAGCATTGGGCTTGAGAGCCTCATTGCTAAGAGGGAGAAAAGGGAAATGAGGGCAAATTAGAGGAGAAAAAGAATTCAGAACTGCACAGCTGGGGAGACTGAAAATGACTGCGGGGGCAGAGGAGGGGGGAGAAGGTAGGGAAGCGGAGCGGAGGGAGGCCTCGGTGCTCGAGTGTGCCCCAGCGGTGAGGCCGGCCTCCCCGCGCCCCCCCAACCCCGGGCCCTGAGCCGGAGCCAGGCAAGAGGCAGGAGCTAGCAGCCGGCACCGCCCGCGCAAGGTGACTGGGGCAAACCCACAGCGCCGTGGGAGGCCCAGGGCGCTTCATTCCGCCCAAGCATCCCTCTTTTTTGGTCAAAATCTTGGATTGGTCCTGTCAGGAATAAAGTAAGAGCAAACATCTCGTTGGGGCGAAGAGGAAAGGGGACTTTGGAAAGTTCCGCGGGACAGGGAGAGGGGCCCCAACAGTTCGGGGTCTTTCTAGAATGATCCACACTTCACCTCCTCATCCCTCTTGTCTTCCTAACGCTCCGGACCTTGTTCCTAGGAGTCAGGGGAGGGCCGCCATCACCCTACAAAGTCACATGCCCCCAACAGCAGCCGCACCACGAGCCGGCTGAGAGGCCGACTCCTCAGGACCGCCAGTCCACCCCCACCTCGCTCCTGAGGAGACATGCGCCTTTTGCCCAGCGCCTCCGCGACGAGGCGCGCTCCCGCTCCCGCCCTCCACACCCGCGAGAGCGCGCGCTCCCGCCTGCGCGAACTCGAGATTCCGAACACTCGGGAGGAGGCGCGCTTTCAAATGTCGGAGGCGGATCTAAGCGTGCCACGCCCCCAAGGGCGGAAAAGTCCCTGATTCGCTGAGAGCTTGCGAGCCGCCAGGTCTACCCCATTCATCTCTTCCTCTCCTCCCTCCTCCGACAGCAACCTAGGCTTTCCCTCAGGCACCTTTCACCATAGGCGATGACGACCCCACGGCGGTCCTGGCTGTGGGTCTGGTTTACCGCCATCTTGCTTCGGGCCCCTTCCCACAGCCCCGCAGATGGGAAGGGGCGGGGCCAAGCCGTGGGGCGGAGGCTCTGAGGGGGAGGGCGGAGATTGTGGCGCAAGGACGCGGAGTGAGTGGGCGAGGCGTCTGGTCACGTGAGGGGGCAGTGGTCAGAGGGGCAGGCGGAGTCAGGGTTGAGACACGCCCCTGACGGGAAAGGGGCGGGTCCAGCGGATTGTCTCCGCCCCCGGAGGTTAGAGGGCTGTGGTAGGTGAGTGGCCTCATCAACCCCATCTGCCCTCCCTGCCTTCGTGACTATTATATTTCATTGAATTTAAGATGCTGTCAAGTATAAGATGCATCGTTCTTTTCGTGTACCACTGAGAAAAACGTTGCCAAATAAACTGACATGCCATCGGTTGTAAATGCATCCTGACTTCGGAAATTTTGTTTTAAAATACAATGCTTACTAGAGCAAATGAAATACCATGGCAAAAGTGTGAAGCAGTGGAACAAGCATTGAGGTCTAGTCCCGGTATCCTGTGGTGGCAGCCATGGGCAACCTTGAGCGAGGTGATTAAACTCTTTGGCTTCAGTTTCTGTATCTGTACGAAGGCATTGGGACTAGAAGAGCTCTTAGGGTTTGTTCTAGCAGTGACATTTTATTTTCACTGAACTGCTTTATCATTCAAATCTCAGTTCTCTTCATCTCACTGTGATGATGATACTCCAGTTCCTGCCCTATCGTGTTATAATACTTGAATGACTCCAAGAGCCTCTTGCCTCATCTTCCATCAACTTTGACCACTCCAAACCACTTCCCACCATTCACATTGCACTCACCCTACAGAGTGTTGAGGCTCCAAACATAACTGCATCCAGGTGTCACATTAGAGAAATAATATGCAAGTGAAAGTTGCATTATTTGCTGGATACAAATGAGAGTGTGCACCTCAAGGAGAGGATTAGTTTGAGTTCAAGGAAAACACAAGCCAGTGCTTAAGTTTAAATTCTGAAAGTATTCACTGTAACATAAGCAGTTCTCTAGGCAAGATGGATCCACTCCTTTCATTGACTTGGTCCTTATGCTTCAGGAAAAAGCAAAGCTAGAAGGTTAACTGAATGAAAATAAACATCATTTTCACTGGAGACAGGCTGTGCAGAGTACAGCATCCCTCAAGATCAGGTGTGATAGCTCCATCACTCATTTCAGATATAAAACCCCAGGAAATGATGACTGGGGTCTGACTTCATGCCAGTAGAAGATGAACTGACCTCACAAAGTGTTCCCGTCTCTAACATCTGTGGCTACTTCTTACCAAGATGGTCCTGGTCTCACCCTCCACACATAGGTGAGGTGGTGTAATGGCTGATTTGGTCGAGGAGCACAAATAAGACAGGTCAAGCAGTTACTGTTCAAACAGCAATGTTTAGTTGTACAACACATAAAGTCTAGCAACATTTACAGGGCCACTTTGAGTGTCTGTTGGCTTGTTTTCAGTTGGGAAATTTAACCATAATGTCACCATAAGATTGGCTGGGACCGGTAACATTTAAGAAATGGGTCGTTCTTGCATCCCCTAGGCTTGGGCCTCTTGCTCCATCAGGACTTGGTTATAGATGAATAGCCCACAAGTCACCAGCCTTTGAGCAAGTTGTGTCCAGGTGGAGGTGGTGGTGGGGCGGGCAAGGGGGATTCTATAAAGACACAGTGTGTGGGGCAGTGGCAGCCGACATTCGCAAAACATTCATGCATCTGATGGGGGCTTCGCCCTTCATTGGGTATTTTCCATTAGCCTATAGCAACCACCTGTGGCCAGGTGAATTCATTAGTCACATTAATGGGATGGGGGTGGGGATAGGAGTAGGTAGGGTATCGGGTAAGAGATCCCTCTTATTGCTAAGTGGACAGAAGGGTGCTATTTTTCTTCCTAGATTGTACATCTTATGGATTTCTGGGATTTTGTGTGTGTGTTGTTATCTTTTTAAGTTTGGGGATAAGGAAGTCAACTCTAGCAATGTCTGTCAGGGAACACCACTCCTCCTCAGTGGCTCCGTTATGGGATGGGGAGGGTATGTAACCACACTCTGGGCCACCCACAAGTGGTGATTTTTACAAAAGTGATCCTAGCCCTTGCTCCCCAACATCTGTAGTGACCCACCCTTATGAATACTTTTAAGCAATGAAGGAGACACTCTTGTCCCACACTGGGGCTCACACAGCTGATCTCAATCAATCTGACAAGCAGAAAAGTTGCTTTCTTGACCCTCTCAGGAAGCCAAGAGTAGCTCATGCAAATGAATGGACAGGAAGCAATGCCATTGCCCTTCAGGATGGTTACAAGTAGCTGGTATGGGTTTGCAAGGGCAGAAGCAGCTCTTGATGAGTTCTTTCACCCTACAGATGGGCTGGGGCCAGCTGACACAGATGATGGAAGGGGGCAGCGCTGGCAGAACTCCATTCCACTGGGAGGAGAGCAGTGGGCTGGATAAATGGAGAACGCAACTGTCCCAAAGAGGCAGCAGACCCCTCCCATCTGCTGAGGGCTGAGAGGGGCTGTGGTGGTGGGCTGGACAAGCACAGCGCTAAAAAGTGCTTGGCCCTGCAGCAGTACAGCTGAGAGGGATGGAGGGAGAAGCAGCGCTTGAAATGGCCTTCATTCAGCTGTGGGGCAGGGGGTGGCTGGCACAGGAGGAAGGACAGAGCCCAGGAGGCCTTCTCCCTGCAGGGGAGTTGAGAACGGTTGAGGTGTGGAGACCAGCAGCTGGCAGCAGACATACAAAACAGCTTCTCCGAGGGAAGCTGAAATCAAGGCTCAGGGGTGCCTGGCACCATTCTCCTATCAGCCTTTCAATGCCCACCACCCGCGCCCCTAGATCTTCCCCTGCTGGTCCCAGGTGTCCAGTCCCATGTCTCCACACAGGACTGCTCACTGGAGCAGCCAGGGATCCCCTTTCTGTTGAAATGTAGCAACCTCTGAGCTATAGCACTCCAGCTGTTCTATCTTGACAAGGGCCTACCCTGTAACTTTCTGAGCAAGAGAGAATGAGGGCTGGATTGGTAAATAAGCCTCCGGGAATGACTGAGACTGTAGCTTTTGGATCCCTGGTGATCTGATCACCCCACCTCTGTCTCCTGGTCCACTGAATCTTAGATCTTAAGTCTATATTTTTTCCTAGCACCTGAGTGATAAAGGACTGTGATTATAAATGCTGGGATTCATAGAGGACCAGTTAAACACCTAGGCTGGACCAGGAGATGGGACAGGAGGTTGTATGAGGTTATTGTAAACAGTATCACTTGGTGTTTTCCCTTTCCTAAGGCTAAATTGTTTCCCTAGCCCTGAATTTCAGCAATCTTACAGATTAGAGGAAAAGAGTAACTTATTTATACAACCAACACAGGAGATATATGCATTAATAAATACAGGGCTTCAGGGAAAGGCAAGAAGAGGTGAAATGTATGGTGGCAGGTATCACTGGGAATGTCTACAGTAGGCTGGGGGGGGATCAGGGAAAAGCAGAGAAAGACAGACATAAATGTAATTAGCTTCACAAAAGTGAGGGAGAATTGAAAAGAAGTAAAATAGAAGTCAAGTATGTATGAGACAAAGGGAGCAACAGAGAAGCAAGTTTGGAACAGAGAGAAGTCCATTGCAGGGAAGGGAGGATGTGGTCTAAAATTTGTCTCTGAAGCCAAACCACCAAGAAAGGCAAATATTGTATTTTTTCGGATACTTCTTTAGTATTAGTTCTTCTAGAACTTAATGCCACTGCAAAAGGTTCTCACTTGACCAGCACAGGTGCTTGCTTTAACCCGGCCCTGGGACCCACATACCCGCTGGGCTCCCTGTTTGCCTTGGCTTCCCACAAGTTCAGGGCCCGTTTCAGCGCTTGATTGCAGAAACTTTCTTTCCAATTCCTCTCTATGGCTCTGATTTCTCTGGTAATCTCAGTTTGTGCTGTCCCGTGCTTTTAGTTGTGATCTTATTTGAGGGTGGTCTAAAATCATTTTTGAAAGTAGACTGCACATAAATTCTAAATATAGAAATGAAGCTACTAAAGTGGATTAATCTAAAAGGCAGGAGAGAGGGAAGGAGAGGGAGAAAGAAGACGAAGCAGGAAGCAGACGCAGGCAACTGGCCCAGAAACAGAAGCCAGGTGAGTGTGGACAGCAGCAGTCTGCAATAATGACAACAGTAGTGACTCTGGGACAGTGAACACGACACAAACTGAAGGGTGGAGCTCCACTTCCTAGACACTAATTCTTTTTGCAGGAACCCAGCTCTGGCCTACTTCTCTGCTCTCCAGTCACCTTCTTGTCCCCAGGAAGCCCTAGCCTTACCCTTACTTACAGGGAAGGGTGTCCTGAACTCCCTGCTCCTCCCAGGTCTAGCTCTGCTGCTGCCTGTCCTTGGAGAGTCTCTACAGCCCCGGTCTGTGGGCAGGTTCAGAGATAAGAGTTGCCTGTGGCTTACCTGCTCCCATCATTTCTAAGTGAACCCCCCACCCCAAGACCTCTTGAGTGAAGCACACGGCCTTGTTCTGGGACACAAGGAAAGGAGACAGATAACGGACGGTCATGGAGGAACCAAACTTACAAGGGGCTTTCCAGGGAGGGCAATGAAAATAGCTCACCCCTGCATGAACACACACACAGGCGCACTCTCCCTCCCCCTCACTCACACACACACACACACACACACACGACGTAGACAAGGTGCTCCACAAACACCAGACAGGCCTGTGGGACAGAGTTGAAAGGAAGAAGGTGGTTGGCGGTGGTATTTGGGATGTGTGTGTGTGGAGAAGTGGCTATGTGTGATGACAGAGAAGGGGTCGTCAGGGGTTACTGTTGTGGCTTTCCTCTGTGTCCACGCTCACCGGAGGGAGGCCTCCATTGTCATTGAGCCGCTTGGCCCTGTAAGTCTCATAGTGGATGTTGTGTGTCACTTCCTTGAGGTCCTGGAGGTGGGTCCTAAAGGACACAGGGTTTGAAGAAAAGGGATGCAATTAGGGGCAGGAAGATGCGGTGGCGACACATCTGAGGCTAATACATCCCTCTGATGGACACTGGACCCAATGATTGGGACCCACTCCTGGGAGCCAGTGATACTCCTACATCCCCTTCTGCTCTGAGGCCGGAGTTGGGACTGGGCAGAAAGCTCTGTCAGACAGACCTGGAGACTCAGAAAGTGAATCTGAGCAGATGGCCCCTGACCCGAAATAATTCAACTTGGCATCTGGGCTGAGCGTTTGGGGCAGGGGAACATCTTACCTGATGACAAAGTCTCGAAGCAAGGCAAACTCACAGTGGTTGAGGTTTTCCACTATGACAAAAATAAAACCAAACAAAACAGGTGGTCATTTCATTAATACAGCAACACCCAGGAGGTGAACTTCTGTTTGGAACATGGAAGCATTTCGGAAACAGCCAACGGTTATTCTGCAACCCTTCCAGAGGTTTGCTCACTTCCATGCACTGGATTTTATTCATTGAACAAATGTTTATTAAACAGCTACAATTGTCACAATGCTGTTCTAGACTCTGGAATAACAGCTAAGAGGGACTGTTATTTTTCCCATTTTACAGAAGAGAAAACTAATGCATAGGGAGTATAAGAAACTTGCCAAGGTCTAGGACATGGCTCCTACCTTTAAGGAGCTTAAAATCTGACTAGAAGAAAGTAACGCACATAGAAAATTATAGTTGAGCCATCTTTAAAAAGTCATGCACTACATGATAAATCCAATTCAACATAGATTAATCACTTGCCAAGGATTGTGGGAACAGAACGAGGATTAATATATAAACCCTCTAGACTCATAATCTAATGAGTAAGACAGACATTCTCATAAATATCCAATTCAAGGCAGATGATAAGAAAATGCCATTTAAAAAACCCTACAAAGGGTCAAAGGAAAAAGAGACAATGTGAGACCATGAGATGATCTTTGGTTTTATTTTTTGGGTTTTTTTGTTGTTGTTGATTGTTTTTTTGTTTTTGAGACAGAGTCTCACTCTATTGCCCAGGCTAGAGTGCTGTGACATCAGCCTAGCACACAGCAACCTCAAACTACTGGGCTCAAGAGATCCTCTTGCCTCAGCCTCTCAAGTAGCTGGGACTACAGGCATGTGCCACCATACCCAGCTAATTGTTTTTTTTTCTATTTTAGTTGGCTGGCCAATTTCTTTCTATTTTTAGTAGAGGCGGGAGTCTCACTCTTGCTGAGATTGGTCTCGAACTGCTGACCTCAAGCTATCTTCCCGCCTTGGCTTCCCTGAGTGCTAGAATTATAGGCATAATGCCCAGCCGATCTTTGGTTTTAGAATCAAAATATCTGAGTCTGAAATCCACGTTTCACTGTTAACAAGTTCTGTGACCTTGGGCAAGGCACTTAACCTGTTCTAGACTCTGGTTTTTGTTTTTTGTTTTGTTTTTTGTTTTTTTGTTTGTTTGTTTGTTTGTTTTCTGAGATGCCAGTGGCTCAGCGGCTTACATTCCTGTCCAAGAACACCTGCCCTGCTTCCCTCTTTAGGTTATCGTATTGAACGAGATCATTAATGTGATTCTTTGACAACTTCCAGAACCATCAAGAACTGCCCAAGGTCACATCCATTCATAACAACATGGAAATGGCAACATCTGAACAACCCTTCCACAGCTTGTCAGATCACATCCCCCTTCACGTGAAAACGTTTCTCTGGCTTCCCCAGTCCTTACTAAACTCCTCTAATTCGTTGAGTCAGTGCTAAATCAGTCTCATTGCTTCCTGCCTGGGTCATGTTCTCAATTAGACTGTAAGCTCCCTAAGGGCAGAATCTGGCTGGCATTCATTTTATAGCATATATTTATAGGGGCCCTGACCTACAGATGCTTAATAAATTCTCACTGGATAATTGATCAGTAGCCAGTTCTTCCAGAAGATGCATTGAATTACCTTCAATGATCCCCCAGGGAGTTTTTCTGCCGAGGACCCTCTTGCCATTCACTTGGTACTCCTTGTCACTTCCCACCACAGCGAAAGGCATGCTCTCCTGCTGTACAGGGACAGAAACACAAACCAGACACATGGGCACAGTCATCCTCCTACAACCTGAGCATCCAAGGGCAGGGCAGCATAGGGTCCTCTAGCCTTGAACCACACATTTCTGATGCTCATTTGGTAACACCTGCCTCCTGAGAACAGCACTGGCCTGGGAGTCAGAAGGTCAGGAGTCCTGGGTCCGACCCTGACTGCACCACTGCCTGGCTGGTTAACCTCAGTAAGTCAGCTTTCCTTCAACTTTAGAGCACTTCATACTTTTCACAGTGCTTTACCACACATCTTTTGTTACTGTTGTCATAGTTTTAGAGACAGGAGCTCACTGTGCTGCCCAGGCACTTCTGGGTTCAATGATACTCCTGCCTCAGCCTCCCGAGCAGCTAAGACCACAGACACACACCACTGCACCCAGCTCACATGTCTCCTTTGATTTGGAACACAGAGCTAGCTAGGATAGACCTCTCTTAATCCCACCCAAGCAACAGCCAGACTCACTGAAGCTTTACACCATCTCCCGTGAAACCTACTGGCAGATGCCCACGCCCACTGAAATCCCAGAGGTCGAGGCCACTTTATGATATTTGGGGGTTTGTTCCCAAATCTATTTGCATGCTTTGTATATTATTATAATTAGATAAATTAACTAATATGTAAATTGAAGACACATGCATGTGGAGAGTTGCTGCTCTGAAAATTGAGTCTCGGTGCAGTAACTCACACCTGTAATCCCAATACTTTGGGAGGCTGAGGCAGGAGGATCACTTGAAGCCAGGAGTTCAAGACCAGCCTGGGCAACAGAGCAAGACCCTTCTCTAAAAAGAGGTTTTAAAAATTAGCTGGATGTGGTGGCACAGGCCTGTAGTCCTAGCTACTTGGGAGGCTGAGGCAGGAGGATCACTTGAGCCCAGGAGTTCCAGGCGACAGTAAGCTATGATGGTGTCACTGCACTCCAGCCCAGGCAACAGAGTGAGACCCTGTCTCCAAAAAAAATTAAGTTGAATTTTTAGGAAGAATAAAGGTGAGTTGCTTTGGCATTAAGAGTGGATTAAGAGTGGTCTCTTCTCAAGGAAGAGACCTTGGCTCTATATTAAAAGAATGTTTAATGAATGTGATATATATGTTTTAAGTTATTTTAACTTAATAACTTCATAAAGTCTTTAAACATTTACAATTTGTATACATCATTTAAAAAATTATTTCCTCATTTCAATTGACTTTTTCAATTAACTGACCAACTACCAGTCTCAGCTACATCAGATAGGGGCTTCTGATAGAGTATCCACTCTGCTTGTTTTTTAGAGACAGGGTCTCGCTCTGTTGCCCAGGCTGGAGTGCAGTGGCGTGATCATAGCTCACTGAAGCCGCACTCCTGGCCTCAAGGGATCCTCCTGCCTCGGATTCCCAAAGCATTGAGATTATGGGCGAGAGCCACCACACCTGGCCAGATTATCCACTCTTGATGGAGGAGGAGACTCAAAGACTCAAGACCAAAACAGAAAGTGATTTGTCTCAAATTACAGTGGATTAATAGAAAAGCCCAGACTAGATCCTGTGATTCTGATACGGAATCACAGAATTGCAGGAATTTAGAATTGAGAGGGCCTTAGAAATCACTCAGGCTGATGGTGTCCAAGCCAGATTCATGGAGCCTAAAGATTCCCAGTGGGGCTGCTGGGGGCTGCTGGGGGGCAGGGAAAGCATCTCTGCTTGTGTATTTTGTATATTGGAGTTCTGAAATTTAACTTTTTAGAAAGGGTGCTTTGGGTGGGGGAATCCTATAAGCCACTTACCTAGACTAACTCCTACATTTAATTGAGGGGAAACTGAGGCAGAGTCTGACTAGAGCATAGATTTTTCAGAACCCCACCCAGATGCTTTTCCTGCCTGCTGCCCCTTCCATCACCCCACACTCTGGTTTTGCCAGAGCCTGCAGGGGAAGAGGAGGGTTTTGTGGATCAGGCAAAGTGGGGCAGGGAGTATGGAAAGAGGGATAAGCCTAAGCCAGTAGACAGAGGAGGTACATAAATCCGTCCCAAGGGTGGGGGGGCATCTGTGTGATGAGCAAAGCCCCAGGCACCCACCCTGATTTTGTCATTCTCTGTCTTGTCCTCCAAATCTTCATCAAATTCCTTCTGGGGGTAGAATTCAATGCCATTTACTTCAAGCTCCTTGCGAACCTAGAGGCAGGGAGGAGACGCAAGGTAGCCAAGTGTCAGGACAGCAGAGGAGGAGTTATGTGTGCGCGAGCTGAAGTTCGAGAGACAGATCCCGCCTTCGATAATCCGCAGTCATCTCTGAACTCCAAGACCCTGGGCAGCAGGAAGGTCCTGAGTAAATGCAAGGCCCAGTTACGCGATGACCACGGCCCAGCCTGAGAAGAGAATGAGGCCAGGGCTTCAGGCCCCCCGGGTCCTCACAACCAGCCTGCTCGTCTCAGGGTGCTTAAGGCTAACATTTAGACAGCAGCACAGCTGAGTACAGATCTCACCGGGCAGTGCTCATGCGCCCTGCATGTTCCTGTGTGCAAGGAAGAGAGGCGAGGCCCTGCCCACCCCAAGCCTCTCACTCTGCCCTCTTTCAAGGTCTTCGAGGTCAGCTTAAGTCTCACCACCTCCAGGAAGCCATCCAGGACCCCTTCATGTTCTATTTGATTGCAAATGTATTAAAGGCAGCAACTATCTTTTCATTTCTCTGGAATCCCTTCCCTCCTCCAATCCTCCACCCCCAGGCATCCAGCACAAGGCTGAGCTTATAGAAGATGCCAATAAGGACCGGCTGGCAGTGGCAGCTGGCTGACTGACTAGTCTAGTCCTTCAAGCAACCTAACATTTGAGGAGTGATCCTCGTGTTCATGGTGACGTAGGTATTCAGTGGTCCCCACAGGTAGGCTTGGAGGGTGGGAAGAAAGCAGCTGGAGCCGCACCGACTCGTCTTCATCCCTGGTACCCAGATACCACCAGCCTCGGCCTCTTTGATGGCTAAATAGGGGCTTCGTGGGGAGTTGGTGGGGTAGGTGTGGCGGTGGGAGTGAAAGAAGAATGACAAGGACCAGGAGATGGCTTGGACCCAGAGGAGGGGAAGGGAGGGATGGAGACAGGAAAAGGACAAAGGGGGCCTTTCTCACCCTTTGCTTGAATTCAGACTTCTCCTCCAGGGTCATGGTGTCAGCCTTAGCAATGACAGGGATGATGTTCACAACTTTGCTGAGGTGTTTCATGAACTCGAGATCGAGAGGTCGCAAGCTGGGGCCCAGAGAAGGTGGAATGTCAGAGCCACCTTGTCCTCCCCCACCCGGCCACTGCCACCGCTCCAGGGCACCCTTGCAGAAGAGGACTGGGCTGGCCATCGGCTGAGGCCAAGAGGCTGGCAGCTCTCCTCTCTGATGTACACCCGCGGCCTCACTGTCTGCAGAGCAGTCGCGCCATTTCCCTTTCTCTTCCTCAGTTCCCACACGAATCCTGCCTCTCTTCCAGCCCCCTCACACCAACCCTCCAGGACATCTCTTCTGACCTAGGGATTTCTTTCTCCTGGGAACATCTGTGGACTGTTGGCCCCACCCATAGTTCCCTGTGTCCTGGTTGCTGGTGTGTGTCCTATTCTGCCTCTGCCCAGCCCCCACAGTTAGTCCTGCTGGCCCAACTGGGAGCCGTGTCCCTCCCCTAACCTGAGGGCCTAGCCCACCCCTGACCCCAGGCTCTGGGGGGGCCACAATCTGGCTCTCTCTTGCGACCAGGGATTCATTAAGTCAAGCTGCCTGATGGTTCACTCTGACCAGGGTCAAGGCCTAGGAAGGGACCTTTTATTGAGTCCCTGGGCCTGGCCCAGGGTTTTTGTTTCATATCCCTCCTCCCTGTGTCACTGAATACATGCTGAGTATCTGGTTCCTACAAAATTTTGGGTCTACCTTGCTTGTGTCATCCTCTCAAGCACTGATCTGGCTCAGCAGCTGGGCTTAGTAGTGAGTAATGAAACGCACACCCCGCAGGAAGGCTGCGTGCTGGCCCGCTGGGATCTCCATCCTCTGCCTGCCCCTGGCATTTCCTGCATAGGGCCCACCTGTCACTCATGACCAGAGTTCCCAGCACACTCCGCTTATGGTCACCCTTCATCTCTAGACACTTGGCTCCTCCTGCTGCGTTGGCCACCCTCCAAGTGCATATAGCTAGCTGGGTCCCACATCCCAGCAAAATAGCAGCCCAATCCAGTAGCCCTGCCCCCACCTCCTTGGCAGTTCTCTCTGCTGGCACAGTCTTGTTGTGGTGCTGGGACACCAGTGGGCAGGAGGGTGGCTGACGCTGGTCAGTTTTGACCTCCTAGCAAGAAAGTCAGACTTGCTTGCGGGAAGTCTGGGGAACCCCCGGGTCACAGGGCCATGACTATATTCCAGCCCACCTGGCCCTCCCCGGCTGAGTCAAGATATGGATTATCCAATCCAGAAGGGGACAGCTGATGCAAACCAGAGCCAGGCCGGGCAACAGGGGTGGCGCGGTACATACGAATGTCCCGTGGGGGAGATGAAGTAGAGGCAGCAGTGGACGCGAGTGTCAGGGATGCGCTTCTTCCTGGCGATGTTCACCTCCTCCTTTAGGAACTTCTCGTACTGCTCATTGATGTACTTCTCAATGGGCTCCCAGCTGAGGGGTGGGGAAAAGTAGGTGGATGCATCAGGACAGGACCTGGGAGCGCAGCTTGGGCACGCTCAGGAAGCAGTCGCTTCACACCCTTCTCATCTCCCACCTCCCCTGGTGGGTCTATGATACCTGCTGGCCGACTCTCCCTCAGCCAGCCCCCAACCCACCCCCACCATGGCTTTCATGGCTGGTTAGTAAGCAAGGGTGGAACTTCCCAGGGGATCTAACTTCTGCCTGGGCTATGAGAAGCTGCAGAGCATGGAGGAACCAATTCCTATTCATCCTCAGTGTGAATGAATCTGCAGCATGTGAAGTATCATCCTAGCAGAGTCTTTACGGTGAAAATCTCAGAGGCAGATAGATACCAGTTTTCATTGTTGATCTGGTCTCCAAAGCCGGGGGTGTCGATGACCGTCAGCTTCATTTTGACACCGCCTTCCTCTATCACTGGGGGTGGGGGTGGGTGAAAAGAAGAGGTAGCAGAAAGGTCAGTCCTGCAGCTGACCCCAGGTGCCCTGCAGCCTGCTAGCCAGGGAGACCCAGGCCTCTTCTTTTCTTCAGGACCAATTGTTGGAAAAGTTGAGTTTAGGGGTCTTTCCCACATCAACACCTTCCCTCATGCTGTTCCCTGCACCTGGAATACACGCCTTCTTTCTACCTGTCTAAATCCTACCTGTGCTTTATCGTCTAGCTTAAGTCCCGCTTCTTTGCATTCTAGCAGCCTCCCTTCCTGAACCAGCAGTCTAAGTAGTTTGCTTCATAGAGTGCAGTGCTCAATTCTGTTGTCTTAGGTTGCCCTGCATTTGCCTTACTCCCTAATAAGCCCCATTATTTCCCCTTTGTGGCAGAGGTCCCCTCTGAACAAATCCCACTGGGGTCCCTGCCTGGTCCTCACCATGCCCAATAGCTTTGATCTCCACCGTCTTGGGGATCTTCTCCTCCCGGTTCCAGCTGGAGGCCTTGCGGCTCACTTGGGATTTGAAGAGCGTGTTGACCAGTGTTGACTTGCCCAGTCCACTTTGGCCTGCAGTAAAGCAGGAGGAGGAGGTAGGGAGACCCCACATCCACCTCCTGAGCCTAACAGCCCCCATGAGCTTACAGAATTCTAGAACTATGATTCAGGCCAACTGCTCCTGTGACCACTCCCTGGGGCGTGGGGAGAGCAGGCAGGTGGGAACTTCCTGCTTACTGGAGAAGGCCGTGGGGAAGCGTCAGTTGGATTCCACATTCTCTCTTTCTTGGAGCCCCAGGACTGGGAAAGGGGACAATCCCTGCATCTGTCTGGTGTAGCAGTTTTTTGTTTTTTTGGTTTGGTTTTTGGATTAGGTTTTCACTCTTGAATAATATTAAAAGTAAAAGAGAATTGCCTTGCATTCTGATACTGCCTCATAGTGCATAATGCACATTCACATCTGTTAGCAAAGTTCACCTTTGTATCTGCCCTGTGAGTCCTGCAACAGAGCTGTCTTTATCCCTAGGTGAGATACAGGGTCCTAGAGAGACTGATGCTCTTCTAACATAAAATATGTGCAAGGCAAATAACTAATAAATGTGACACCAGTAACTTGAACCCAAAGAACCTCTTGGCTCCATATCCACTCTTAATTCTAGCATAGCAGTTTTTTAAATTGTGCTCCCAGGGCCAGGCGCAGTGGCTCAAGTCTGTAATCCTAGCACTCTGGGAGGCCGAGACAGGTGGATTGCTCAAGGTCAGGAGTTCAAAACCAGCCTGAGCAAGAGCGAGACCCCTGTCTCTACTATAAATAGAAAAAAATTAATTGGCCAACTAATATATAGAGAAAAAATTAGCCGGGCATGGTGACGCATGCCTGTAGTCCCAGCTACTCGGGAGGGTGAGGCAGCAGGATTGCTTGAGCCCAGGAGACTGGGGTTGCTGTGAGCTAGGCTGACGCCCCGGCACACTCTAGCCTGGGCAACAAAGCCAGACTCTGTCTCAAAAAAAAAAAAATTGTGCTCCCAGAAGTCCCAGTGTCCTGTGAAGATACACATAGAGAGGCCGCAGCCCCCACCTCCACTGCCTTCACTATAGCATTCTTTCCACCTGGTTTTGCAGAACTTCCACATGCAGTTCTGCAGAAGATTTCATTTCAAGGAAAAGCTCCACAGCTAAAAATTGTTTGAAAACCACTGGTGTGTGCATTCTTCTCAAACTGTAACATGCACAAGAATCCCCCAAGAAAGCCTTGCAACTGACAGCAGCATGAGAATCACCTGACCCTTTTAGGGAAGGATCTCAGGCCCCACCCCAGACCCATGATTCAGAATCTGTGTTTTAACTGGGCTTCCAGAGGAATCATATGGGCAGTAAAGTCTAAGGAATGCTGGTCTAGAGCATTCTGTGGAACATTAGAAAAAGAACCAGGCTGGCCGGGCGCGGTGGCTCATGCCTGTAATTCTAGCACTCTGGGAGGCTGAGGCGGGCAGATTGCTCAAGGTCAGGAGTTCGAAACCAACCTGAGCAAGAGTGAGACCCCGTCTCTACTAAAAATAGAAAGAAATTAATTGGCCAACTAAAAATATATAGAGAAAAAACTAGCCGGGCATGGTGGCGCATGCCTGTAGTCCCAGCTACTCAGGAGGCTGAGGCAGAAGGATTGTTTTAGCCCAGGAGTTTGAGTGCTAGGCTGACGCCATGGCACTCCAGCCAGGGCAACAGAGTGAGACTCTGTCTCAAAAAAAAGAAAAAAAAAAAAAAAGAACCAGGCTGGGGGATAAGGGCTGAGGATTCTAGACTCAACTGTGCTATTTCCCCTGAATGCCTTTGGATTAATAATGTTTGCCCCCTGGGCCTCAGCTTCCTTACTGATAGGATGGTGGGGAGAGAGGGAATAGGAAGATAGCAAGGACGACAAGGTGCCTTTCTCCTTCCAGCTGACCAGCTCATGGTGGCCACCTGGACTCTGTTAAAAAGGCTACATCTGGGCTCAGGACTGAACGTGTGCCATGACTGTCCAGCAATGTTTGTCAGGGGCACCACTAGGAAGAGAAGTGGCCCCTAGGTCTCGAATTTGCCATTCTTGGTCTGGGATGTTTTGTAAGGTCATTTGTTCATTAAGTACTCTTGAGTGCCAAGGGCTGTCCTAGAATTGGAGATACAAATGTGAACAAGATAGCATTCTTACCATCAAGGAGTCACTTTGTATGAGAGAGACCAAAACATAAGCAGACAATTACAATATGTCGTAAAACCTGCCATAAAAGAGATAACCCAGAACATTGTAACAGCATTGCAAAGGGAATCTAATCCAGTCTCTCTGCAATCAATACAAACCTCTAGGAAGATGCAACAACTAAGCTGAAACCTGAAAGATGACTTCAAGTGAGCCATGAGAAGCAGGAAGGGAGTTCTAGACAGAGGGAATAGCAAATGCAAAGGCTCAGAGGTAGGAAAGAGCATAGCAAGTCGAGAGCTGTTCCTTATGAGCGAGGAGTATAATGCTAGATGGGAAGTGGTCAGAGATGAGTTGGAGAGGCAGTGCCAAGACAAATTTGGTGTTTAAACTTATCCTGAGTTTAAAGGAGAGTTACTGAAGAGTTTTGAGTAGGATGGGTGGCTTGATGAGTTTTGTAAGTTGGAAAGATTATTCAATCACTGGTGGACAATGGATTGGAGAGAAAAGGAGACAGAGAACTAGTAGGGTCAGTGCCACTCCAAAATGTGGCCTGTACCCAACCTTCCAGGGTCCATGAACCATCTGCTACCAGCTTGTACCAGGGGTAAATCAACTATGTCACCAAGCACACTGTTTAGTTCAGCTGATTTTTTTTTAATTTTTATTTTTTTTATTTTTTAATCCCCTGGCATCAGCAAAACTAGTCAGGGGCCAGGAACTGGGGACAGACTATACATCCATCATTTCTGATGTCCTTTTCACAGCTCCCCTTCTCCCCAGCTATTGTCCATCTACTTGTGGATGGCACAGCTGATGTTTTTTATAGCAAGACTTTCCAGATGATTTTCACCCTGCCCCAAGCTCCACCTGAGCTTATCTTGCTGCAGGTCAGCACTCTGAGCTGCACGGTGTCGGGTGGCCAAGGCAATCCAGGTGAGAGACCTAGCTCGGCTTAGGGTGGCAGCAGGAGAGATGGAGGGAAGTGTGCAGATGTAAGAGATATTGACGAGATAAAATGGACAGGACTCGATGATTGATTAAATTGGAGGATAAAGGAAGAGGAGGAAAGAAGGATGATGCCCAGAACCCTGATTCAGGACGGAGGCAACACCTCACTGAGATGGGGCAAAGGTCCTTCCTGCTCTTACATTCCGTGATGCTGCTCAGTAACCAAATCCCTAGAAATTCTCTCAGAGTTCTAAAGCACTACAAAAGATAAAAAATAAGACTACCCTTCATCCCATCTGCCCACCAGCTCTTAGAAATAGAGAAGGGCACTGATGCTTCCCCAGTGTCCCAAACCTGAAAGCAGGAGCGGGCAAAGCAGCCTGCATGCACCCAGCTGGTGGTGGGGCCGGGCGGGCCGTGCACCCAAAGCTCCCACCCCGGGTCAGCTGGTCTTGAGGGGAGAAGGGGGTCGGGCCTTTGCGATCAGCATAGTGAAACGCTCCCTTCCAGGAAAAGCTCATCCTAGAGAAGCCAGCACTGAGGCCGTTCTGGGGAAAGAAATGCGATCCTCCCTGCTGCCCACCACAGGCCTCCAGTGACCCCACAGCTCTCCATACCCACGACCATGATGTTGAAGTCGAAGCCGGTCTTCATGGTCTTCTTGCGCATCTGCTCAATGATGGTGTCGATGCCGATGTAGCCCAGCAAGTTGGAGTTGATGCTGACGGGCTTCATGGGCACTGCCGGCTTAGGCCTGGGCTCAGGCACCAGCTCTGACATGGCTGCGTCCGTCCTGGTCTCTGGGAACCCTGCAAAGCCAAGGTGGGAGGGTTCGGAGGGGCGGGCAGGAGGAGAGCAGAGGTCATGTGGAAGCCACAGTATTTTTCTCTTGACACAGAATCATATGGAGCCGGGACTGGACCTTAATGTCATCCAGTCCAGGTCCCTCATTTCACAGACGCACAGACTGAGGCCTAGAGGAGAAAGGACTCGCCTAAGAACGGGGAGCAGATCAGTCAGATGCAAAATCTGGACCAGTACCAGGCTGTCCAGTTGCTGCGCCAAAACACCACACCTGTGTGTCTAACTGGGGTTTCTCCACCCTGGCACCGCTGACATTTGGATAAATCCTACTTGTGCGGGTGCTGGCCAGTGCATGGAGGATGTTTGGTGGCATCTCTGGCCTCTACTAGATACCAGTCATAGGCCCCCAGTTGTGACAACCCAAAATGTCTCAAGACGGTACCAAATGTCCCGTAGTGGGGCAACATCACCCCGATTGAGAGCCACTAGTCTAAGAAATGTCTGGGGTTATTCAGCCCTCAGTCCTGCTCCGCAAAGAAAGGGCAAAGACGCTTTAGAATCCTGGACTGATCTACTGACTGTCACTGACTACTCCAGCTGCTTCATCTGTTAGAAGCAAACAGGGCGACCTTCTCTGCAGAGTGCATATCAACTCCCACTTCCCAGCCTCGGTGCACCCCTGCAAAGTAGCGGTGTGTGTACCTCAGACCCCCTCCCACAGTTGTGAATCTGTGGGACCAGGGGCCAGAGGGGAGGAGATGAGAACCGGATGAGAGCTGTCACTTGCCTAAGATACACAGTGTGCTCCTGGAATGCTGGGTGGCAGAAGAAAGGAGAGGCTGAGGACCCAGGCCCTCCCAGGGAGGAAAGGCAGGTGTCCCCCTGGGTCTGGCAGAAATCTTTGGGTTTCCTTTTCAGGCCACTGCCCGCCAGGGAAGGCTGCAGGAGAGAGCAACTCCATTTCCCCGTCCATAGAATGAGTAGGGGGAAAGAGCCTGGCTCTGCCACTCATCAACTTTGTGGACTCGGAAGGCCACTTGCCCCTGTGAGCCTGCTTCCTCCTCTGTAAAATGCTAGGATCATGACTAGGGCTGTGGTGAGCACTACACAATGATGCTTAGGAACACTGAGCGCCACCCTCACAGTCCCAGACCCTCCTGCCCCTGCCCCTTTCAAGTCCCCCGGCTGGCCTGGAGGGGAATGAAACAACACATGTGAAAGCACTTGTCGAAGGGAGGCGCCCCACACGCTAATCACACAAGCAGCATTATTAGACTCCATGCTCTCTCGAGGATGCCCTCCAGCTCTGCCGTTCTAGAATCCTATGGTTCACAACTACAGCTCTGCAAGCCTCAGCCTTACAGGGATGCCTGATGGAGCAGCAGATGGGCAGGAGGGAGAGGGGACAAGAGTGCTCCCTCCCACCCCTAAACCCAGGAGAATGCCCTTGTCCCCCCACCACCTGGTCCATCCACCAGTACTGGCAAGACCCTCTCTCCCGCTGGGAAACTGTTCTTTCCTTTGTCACTCTCAGGCACAGCCAAATCTCACAAAGCCTCGGGACCTCCCCAGGGCCTGGTGTGGCTATCTATCTCTTGCTTCCCAAGAAGCTGCTGCCAGCCAGGAGGCTCCAGACGGCAGCAAGATTGGCTCAGCCCTGCAGCAGCTGACTCTCAGCAGCCTGCCCCTGCTCCTCCACTCTTGCACGTGGCTCACAGCCCTGCTCGGTACACCTGCACTGGGGCCACTGCCCCATTTTCCCTCCCCAGCTGCTCTGGCGGGCTGGCCGTCTGCATGGGCCTCAGGCCTCTATAGCGGAGCCCATGTGGGCTCCACCCCTGTGTTGTGGATAGATGTACCTGGGCTGGGGCTGGGGAAAGTGAGTCTGGTATTTATTTATTTAGGGTTTTGTAAGTATTCTCATAAAGTGTGTGTCCTCAGCATGGCCTGCTCAGCCCTGGCCTGTTAACTGCAGCGTCCTAAAAGAGCACCCCCAAAAGACAGACCCTGATTGAGAGAGAAGGCCTACCAGGTGCCCAAGCCACTTCTAGGGGCTGCAGCAAGCCTGCTGCAGGTCCAGGACATGGTGGCTCTCACTTTCATTCTTCTAGTGAGCACATACGAGCCCCCATTGTGTGCACTATACAGAGCACCTGCTGGCAAGTCAGCGCCCTCTCGACTACATGCCAATTACATGTCAGTCACATGCTGGTGACAGCCACCCATCAGTCACAAGTACTAGGAACATGCTGCAGCTCACTGTGCCCCCTCCAACCCCTGGCTGAGTCCCACTCCGGCTTCACCCTTCAGCTCCAGGGCTGCCCCAGGAAGGGCTCTGCCCTCCTGTCTCATGGGATGCCTCAGCCCCCTGTGGGCACACCGGTACTCATCACACTCACTCACTCATTCATTCCATCCCATCCAGTCCATTGCATACGCTGTCAAATGGGGGCCCACTCCAGCCAAGCCCCGGACTAAATGCCAAGGACACTTTTGTACTCCAGACAAGGTCGTGGCCCCCGAGGACCCACTGTCTGGCAAGGGAGCCTGACAAGTACACGAAGACCTCTAGAGCACAGGACAAATGCTGCCCTGGAGCTGGATTCTGCAGCTCCCCTGGTCCTACCGTGCTAACTCAGATGGGCAGCTGACCCAGGCTTGAGTCCTGGCTGGGTGACCTCTGTGAGCCTCAGTTTTCTCCTCAGAAAAGTGGGGGTGGTACCCACCTTGCTAGGTGGCTGTGAAGGTGATACAAAACCATGGACATAAACTGCCTGGCACTGCATATGTGCAGGTCCCCACCCTTCTTTAGGGCAGGGGCTGTGTCTTATTGCTTTCTGTGCCCCAAGGTATCTAGCATACCACAGGCACTCAGCATTGGATGGACAAATGAAAGCCCCAGGGTGAAGCAGCTGTCACCTCAAAGCCACCACCTTTCTTTTCCCTCAGATGCTTCTCCCTGTGCAGAGCAGCCGACCCCTGCCCAGCAAATGGCTGGCCACAGTCTGCGGTTAAGAGAGCTCCTCCCTCCCCCCTCCCGCAGCAGAGAGTGGGGAAGAGCTCAGGATGGAGTCACAGCAGGATGCAGCACAAGCATGCCACCCTGGCTAGATGGTCCTTAGTGCCCCCACTAAGCTCCCAGCTCTCCCACGGTCCCTGAAGAAGAGGGGATCTGTCTGCAGCACCCTCTGCCAGGAGCTGCAGACCCCATGGGTGCTCCAGGGAGAGGCACTATCCACCTGACTCAGCCCTGGTGGAGTCCCCCACAGAAACAGCGCCCCATTCCCATGCTGAGCAAGGACCCTCACGCTTTCTTTTACAGGCAAATGAATGGCTTTGTCTTTGTCTGGCCCAGGGACCCCACCCCTCTATTGAGAAGGTGGCAGTTGGGGGAGGGGACCTTTCCAAAATAGCACCTGCCACCCAGGCTTAGTGCTGGCCCCCTCTTCCTTCTCTCCTGAGCTGGGGATCTTCCCCAGCCCCCAGCAGCCTTCGGGACCCCACCTCCGCCCGCAGAGACACTTCCAGTCCACCCGGGCTCCAGGCCTGGGCTCTTGGAAAGGGAATCACAAAAGATATTAGCCTTTCCCCATTCGCAGGAGCAAAGGACACCCCCTTCCCCCATCCCAGTCCTCTGGAGGCCAGCAGGTTCCCTTGGAGACCACCAGCTGGTGCCTGTCTCAGCGTGTGCCTGCGGGAGGAGGGGAAGAGGGGATTTTGTCAGCACACAGGTCTCTCGCCTGGCGGTACGTGGCCCTGGGACCTGTGCCTGGCGTATGTGTATGTGCACCTCTCGGTGGATTCCAGCGTAAGGCTTTGTATGCGCATCTGGGGTGCATGTCCGTGGGTCCCTGTATCTCCCCGCGTCCGGTGTGTGCCTTTCTCCAAGATGTTATCTCTCGAGGTATATGGCACCGTGTGTGCGTGTGTCCATACATATGTCACCGCGCGTGGGCTGCTCGGCGCAGCACCCCTCCCCCTGGTAGCACCTCCCGCCGCGCTTGCCCTGGCCACAGCCTCCTCCTGCCGGGTGCCGCCGGCCCGGCCGGCCGGCCGCCCTACCTTTGGACATGAATCCTCCTTTGTCTCTGTTCCTCCGGGAAGATGCTCAGGGCGCGGGGTTGCAAGGCTCAGCGGGGCGCGGGCTCCCGGGCCGAGCGGCCCCTGCAGCCGGGCCTCGCCCCTCGGCGCTCTCCGCCCACCCGCCCGGCCGCGCCCCGCCGCGCCGCCCCTGCGCCCCGCGCCGCCGCGCCCGCCCGCGGACTTCGCCTCGCTCGCTCGGCGCCGCGCTGCTCCTGTCCGCGCGCACCGATGCCGCCGCCGCCGCCAGCCGCCGCCGCCGCTGCCACCCGCACCGAGCTGACCGTGCGGCCGCCGAGGGCCCCTCCCCCTCCCGCGGCGCCCGCGCCCGCACACGGGAGCCGGCTCTAGGTCTCGGCTGCGGGCGGCCCAGCAGGCGCGCGGGACGCTGTGTCTGCGGGCTCCGGGTGCCCAAAAGGTGTCCGCATCTCAGACTGGGCCCCTTACCCGCTGGGCTGGGCGAGTGGGAAGCGCAGGGGACCAGTGACAGCTGCCCGCGGCCGTGAGCGCGCGTGAGTCACGCGGTGGTGGGATGCTGCGCTGGCTCCCCGCCGTCCTGCCCAGGCCCCGCGCCTGCCGAGCCCTGAGTCGGGGCCGGGTTCCAGGCGCTGCTCCGGGGTGATGAGCCCTATAACCTTGGGCTAGTCAGGAACTCCCCTCAGCCTCAATGTATCCATCAGAACAATCTTTCCCACATTCAGTGGACATTAACCGACAGCACATTGCCAGGCCTTGGGGCACAGGGATGAGGATGGCCATCCCGGCCATCAGAGGTTCTGGGTCTAGTGGAGGAAACAGGAAGCTGGACTGTCCTAGTGCAGGGGGCTGGGGTTTGCACAGGGTGTTGTGGGTGCAGGCGGGTGGGCACCCTGGGGAGAGAGGGGGTGTGAAGACTTTTTGGAGAAGGTGCAGGCGGAGATGGGAAAGCCAGGGCAGGCAGGAGGGAAGAAGGAAAGGGCATCCTGCACAGAGGTGAGGAGGCCCAGAGGTGAGAGCTACACGGTGCTGGTGGTGCACCCAGAGCTCTTGGGTGCAGCTGAAGCAGAGAAAATTCCAGACAGGTACATAGAGCCAAGAGGCTGGAGAAGTCCGCAGCCTTGTAAGCTAGGCTGGAGAGCTGGACTTTAAGGGAAGGTAGTGGTGAGTCATCGAGGAATATTAAGCCCAAAGTGCTGCCATCCAGGATGTGAGCCTGGTGGCAGCTGTGTGGAGGGGAGGGGGTGGCCTCACAGGGGCAGAAGAATGGAGAGGAGGGGACAGACTGCCATACAGCTGGATGAGCTTGCGAGAGAAAGACGAGGGAAAGGAGGACACCCAGGTTTCTAGTCACAGGGCAGAAGGTGGGCACTGCTTGCAGCTGAGGGAGTGAGGTCAAGGAGGCAGGTGGCAGTTCACAAAGGAAAGGGAGGGCTGTCTCTGGGCATGCGCAGGAGATGTCTGTGTAGAGGAGTCCAGCAGGCGTTGGCTGTACCTGTCCACCTTTCAGGAGAGAGGGCTAGGGGAACGTGGAGGGAGAGCTGAGGTTGCACAGGGAGACCAGAGCGGGGTCGAGGTCCCCTGTCTCAGTGCGCAGAGCAGCATAACAAGGGATCCAGCAGCCCAAAGACCCAATTCAGGCACTGGGCTGGATGCTGTCTGTGTACCTTTCCAGACCCAGAATCTCCAAGCCTTTGAAATGCTGGGAATAAGCTGCCCTATGCAGAATTCCAGGATCTGGGTTCCAATCAGCTTCCTGCCACCAGCCAGCTTTGGTGTGACTTTAGGCATGTCACAAACTCTGAGACCAAATGAACTTCCAGCCCTTGTGTTGACCTGTTTATCATTCTATGTAGGACTTCCATATATATTAGTACAAGTCTCCAACCTACCTTTCAGGACAGGGCTGAGGGTGAAGGGCCAAGGAAGAGACTTCCAGGTAAGGCTCCTTTTAACCAATAGATAGATACCTTCCTAAAGGCCGAGTATGGATGGAGTTAGAAGGTCTCTGGTGCAGGCATTATCTCCTGCTCAGAGGAGCACTGCGGTGGCGAGTACTGTTAGTCAAATCACCGCTTGCTCAAGCACTGGTTGGTATTTTCACATAGGAGGTTTGCCTTAAAAGCTGGCCTCACCTACTGATCACCTGGGTATTCCTGCTCTTCAGGAAACAAAGAAACAACCTGGGAGATGCTAAAGGGAGGACTCAGCGTAATCACTGCTCCACAAGTTACCCAGTAAACTTTCCTTCTGATGGCTTCCCTCAGCCCGATAGCTCACTAGCAAATTAGGACCCAGCTCAGGGTACATCCCCTATGTTCATCTCCTCAACACCTATTCCTTTTTCCCAAAAAACCCATTCAACACTGACCTTAGAGTCCTCCCTCCCTTTCCCAATTCTCCAAGCATGACCCACTTCCAGGCTCATGCGCCCCCCGCCCTCCAGCAGCCCAGTGCACCCCCAGCCAGGCTCTCTGCATTTACCTTTGGATTCTCTGGCCAGGTCCAGTGTGGCAGGCTCCGTGGCTTGGTCTGGGGCAGCATCTGCTACAGGGTGGTCCGGGGCTGGGACTGTGCTTCTGCTTGACGTCACCAGGTGGGTAGCAATATCCAATGTGGTCAGGTCCTTAACCCTGTCCAGTGGAGTCTCCCCAGTGGCTGGGTCTGGGGTGGCTGACACAACTGAACTCATAGCTGTGCCCAGCCTGCTTATATCCAAACCAAGAGAATCCATAGCTGTGCCCAGCTTGGCTCTATTTGCTCCCGCCAAAGCCATGGCTGTTTCCAACCTGCTTGTGCCCACCGTAGCTATGGTTGTGCCCAACTTGACTGGCTCTGGTATTGCCAGATCCATGGCTGTGCCCCCTGAAGTCATATCTGGCTTGGTTGTACCTGCTGTAGTCAAGTTCATGGCTTTGCCTAATTTGGTTGTACCCGCTGTAGCCATGGTTTTGCCCAGCTTGTCTGGGTCTGAGGTTGTCAAATCCATGATCATGCCTGACTTGGTTGTCCCTACTGTAGTCAAATTCTTGGTTGTGCCAGCTGTAGACAAGTTCATGGCTTTGCCTGATTTGGCTGTGCCTGCTGTAGATGAGTCCGTGGCCATGCCCAGCTTGGTTTTCAGAGCAGGGAACTCTGTGCCTGTGTCCAATCTGGGTGTGTTTGGTGTGGCCAAATTGGTAGCCAAGCTAGGTCTGTTGGTGGCCACTGTGGTTAAATATCTGGCTGTATCTGTCCTTGTGTCCACAGCAGTCAAGTTCATAATGGCATTGGCCCTTTGGGGACGCACCCGGGGTCTGGGGATACCCCTGGACCGGGTCTTGCCTCTTGCTGAAGGAGCTCTGGTAGGCATGTGGGCAGTCACTGGGACAGGGCGCCCCTGACCTGCCGGGTCTGGCCCTGCAAGGACTGGCTCACTCTGGGCTAACCGGGATTGGAAAGGTAAAGCCAAGTGTGAACTCACGAGGGGCTTCTCCACTGTGGGCATCCTGCTGGGTGTGGCCAGACGTGGGTTCCCTGGGCCCTCGGAGTGGACTCTGACCCCTGTCATTAGGGTCACAGGTAGTGATCCTGAAGCACACAGCCTCCTTCCTTCGTGGGAAGCAGCCTTCCTTCCTGGGGTGGGCAACTCTTCCCAGTGAGAAAGCAGGGGCTCCAGGGGCCGAGTCTGGCTGTTCTGACGGAGTGTTAAGGAGATGGAGCTGAGCTTCCTGGGCACAAGGCTGTTGGCAGGCAGGGGGCTCAGGGAAGCCCCTGGGACAATGCCAATCTCCTGCGGGGGTACACTCTGGGCCCTGGCTCCAAGGCCTGGTCGGCTGGAAGTCTGTGGGATATGGCTTTGGGGGAAGGCATCCAGATGCACCGTCTTCCTGAGGACAGGGATGAGGGGGGACACTCCCCCAGGGAGCCTTGAGGGGCGGGTAGAGCACCCCAGCATGTGACTGTGGGAGAAGGAGGTTCCAGGGCCTGGGCCCCCGTGCGGCTGCATCTCTGGAGGAGCAGGAGCAAAGCTGTGGTCCATCCAGGCCGAGTTTCTGTCCCTGAGGCAATAACAGAGAGAAAGGGCCAGGCGAGGGTGAGTTGCTCAGGCCTGCATGTCTCAGCCTCCCTTCCAGACCAGCAGCTAGCACTGCCACGTCTGAAGGGGCCTTGTTTTGGGGACTGTCCGGTCTCCCTGGAGGAGTACATGTGTGTCTTCCTCTAGTCCTCCTACAGCTCCTATCTGCTGCAGGCCCACACGTATCTCACACCCCAGCCGGCCCCCACGTGCAGGGCTCTGGTGTGTGCCAAGAACTGGCTGCCCCGGCACAGGAAACTCAGGCGGGGCTTACCTCTCCCCTGCCTCAGCCTGAGCATGGCCCCTCTCCCTGTGGACAGCTCTGTGGAGGTCACATGTGTGTTGAGGGACTCTGGAGGAGGGCAGCGGTCACTGGTGACCCATCTGCCTCTCTCTTCCAAAAGGAACCAAAGGGCTCTGGTTCCCATCCACAGCAGCCGAAACAGGAATTCAGGCATCCAGGTAGGAGGCCAAGAGATGACCAGTTTGGCTTGAGAACAGGGTCTGGACCCAGGGCTCCTGCCCGGAGCCAGGAAAGAGCCCTGGGATGGGCTGGTGCTGGAGCCAGAGTCAGAGCCAGAGCTGAGCATGCCCTGGAGAAGGCGAGGTGGGAAGAGAAGTAATGAATGTTCACAAGAGATTGTCCAGTGAACAAGCCACAGTCCCTGCCCTTGAAGAGCCTGCGGTCCCCGGGTGCAGGGCAAGGAAGTAGGCAGGGCCATGCCAAGGTAAGCATTAGGGGTGGGCATTAGCTCCATATCTGGTGCCAAAGGAAGGAGGCTGGGCCTGAGGTTGGGCTATTCATGCAGAGGGCCCAAAAGGGAGAGAGTGAGGCATCTTTCTGGAGATCCAGCATGGGCGTCCTATTCTGTATCTGGGGCTGAGGAGGGAGACAAGGGTTAGGTGAGCTGGGGATGAAGCCAGGTGACAATGATGCTCAGCCCTTGGAAGATGACACAGTCAGATCTGCAGGAGGGAATAGTTACTCAGGGTCAGTGTGACAGAGGGATCAGAGAGGAACAGAGGCAAGGAGGCAAGGAGAGCCATGAGGATGTAGCTGAAAGCTCCATGGGCCGTGGAGGTGGGTGGGCTGGGCTGAGGCAGGCTGCATGGCACAGGGGAACCTGGGGGCAGGGAGGGGGTGCAGGGGGTGATGTTGAGGATGCTGCTCAGAACTCTGTGGTCTGAGTAGATGGGCCATCCCCTGAGGTGGGCTCCAGGGCCCCCAGATGGCCAGCTTGTGCCCACTGTGGGCTCCAACTCACCCTCTGGTACAAAGTGGCCTCAGTTGCTTTCAGCACAGCAGGCTGGGACATGCTGCTTGGGGGACCAGGCCAGGGCTGGCGGGAGGGTAAGTTCTGAACATAAGGGGCTCGTGGGGTAGGGAGTGATCTTATAGCCAGGTCCCTAAGGTCTGGAGCAGGCACAGGGAAGGCAGGACACCAGAGGGATCTTCATCACTCTTCATGATTCCTTACCAGTTCCCCCTTCATCTCTTTACAGCCACATATTTGTACCCAAGACTGTCCCAGCCTCCATCCTTCCCACCCGGCATAGCCCTGCAGCCTTACTCTCCTGCCCACTCATTCATAACTGCGGACACCTGGGTGCGTACGCACTTACTCTGCACTTAGCCACAAACACACAAACATCCACCCTCAGTGTGCACACCCACATGCAGAGAGCAGGCCAGAGGACAGGGATTCTGAGACTGATTTGTTCTACTGTCCGCAGATCCCCATCCCCTCTCTGAGTCCCCACCCCTCCCTGGAAAGTACCTATCCTTCACCCCCACACACACGTATACCCACCTACCTTGATCAGAGGACAAGAGGCATCCAACGAGTCTGGAAAGCCGAGGCAAGGGCAGACCCCTCACCTCCTCTGTGCCCAGACTCTGGCCATGGGGCCTGGCTCAGGGGCCTGGTCCCTCTGTTCCCCTCATGGGCTTCCCACTCAGCCTCTAGGCCACCCTCCCCAGGTACAGGGCCTGGCTTCTCTCCTGACCTGTCCCAACAGTTACATCCCAGCAGCTAGGCTGGGCTGGGCTCTGGGGCAGGGAGGGGCCGGCTTCTCAGGAGTGGGCGTCAGTGAATGGCTACTCTGAGCCTCTGGAATCCTGAAGGGCCATGGGAGGCTGGGAACGGCCAGTGCTGGGCCTGGACTCAAGGCCCCTGGCAGGGGGGTGGGGGAGCCCTGCAGCCTGCCCTCCCCGAACCTGCCCTCCCTGGGTAGATGTCTCCAGTAAGAACAGGGATACTCCAAACGTGGCCGCACCCTGGGGGTCTCAGCACCAGCCTTACTTCTGCTTGCCCTCTGCACACCCCATGCCTTGTGTAGTTCCGTGCCCATGCTGCCTGCCCACCGGGCCTTCCCTCAAGCAAGCCAGAGCTCCTGCCAGCTAGTTCTTTCCCCTTCAACGGCCCCTGCTTGCTCCAGCTGGTCCCCGTACTGAGACCCTGAGGGAGTGAAGATGACCCACCCCTGGGCCTACCCTTGAGGATAGCCGCAAAGCCACCTAGTCTGGCTCTGGCAGATAATAATCATGGCAACGAGAACAGCTACCATTTACTGAGCACTTGCTATGGTACATGCCAAGCGCCGTGCCAGGGCGGGGCGGCGCTCACAGTGTGCTCGGCAGGACGGGTGTGTACACAGATGCTTACGGTAGCTACCCCACAGCAGTGACGGTGTGCCGCCTCCACACTCGCCCCGAGTCAGGAACTAGGCTAAGCATTCTCCTGGTATCTCCGTTAACCTTCACCTTGTCACCTGATTTTTGGTGATGAGAACATCTCAGCCCATACAACGCTATGTCTGGTCCAGTTTCCTGCGTGTCGCTCTCTTTAGCGAGTGAGCTCTCTGGAGCCGCAATGGCCAATAGAACTTTCTGTGATAATGGAAATGTTCTATATCTGTGCTGTCCAATACAATAGCCACTAGCCACAGATAGCTACTGAGCACTGAAGATGTGGCTACAGTGACCGAAGAACTGCATTTTACATTTTATTTCATTTTAATTTGTGACTACCATATTAGCTCAGTTCTGAAGGGACAAGATTTTATTCTTCTCTGGGTCCTAGGGCCTGAGGAAAGAATCAGCCTCAGCAGGTTTCTGTAGAATGAATGAATGAATAAAATGGTTGAATGGTGAGTGTATGGGCCTGGGACCCTTCCTTCTTCTTATCCCTTCTCTTCCCTTCCAGCTTTAGGTTTTCAAACTTGGCTGAGCTCTGGTTACCAGGGCAACCTGCTGGAAGTCCTAGTGGGTGGGGGAGGGGACCTGTCTGGATTCTCTCTGCTCCCTCCTTGCTTTGAGGCCCTGAGGACCAGCCTGACTCAGGGAAGAAAAGAAGAGGCCAAGAAAGGAGATGGCACAGTTCAGCCCGGAGAGACTGGGTAGAGGGCCTTACTGGGCCCAGCCCACTGGATGACATCATCTCCGTGAGACAGAACTGAAGTCAGGGGCCCTAGCTGCTCTCCCCACTTTGCCCAACAACTCAGATTACTTGCCCTTCTGAGACTCGGTTGCCTTTTCTTTTTCTTTCTTTTGATACAGAGTCTCACTGTTGCCCTGGCTAGAGTGCAGTGGTGTCAGCCTAGCTCACAGCAACCTCACTCCTGGGTTCAAGGCGATCCTTCTGCCTCAGCCTCCCAAGTAGCTGGGACTACAGGCATGCGCCACCATGCCTGGCTAATTTTTTCTATATATATTTTTAGTTAGCCAATTAATTTCTTTCTATTTTTAGTAGAGACGGGCGGTCTCGCTCTTGCTCAGGCTGGTTTCGAACTCCTGACTCGAGCAATCCGCCCACCTCAGCCTCCCAGAGTGCTAGGATTACAGGCGTGAGCCACCGCTCCCGGCTTCAGTTGCCTTTTCAAATAGAGATCAAATGCCCCTGTGTGGTCTCTTCTAGCTTGAAGATCTAGAGCACCTCCATCTTTCTCCCTGCCAAGCTGTGTGGGGCTTGAGAGCAAGGCCTGAGTGTTGTTCAGCTCTCTGTTCCTCCTGTGCATCTTCTGCTCCCTCCAGTGTTGAGGGGTTTGGAGGACACCGCCTACCCAGTATCTACAAGCCTGTGTTCACCTGACATCTAGTGGCCCAAAGTGACAATGACCTCCTCGTGTCTATACACTGTTCTTTCCCACCAAAGGAAAGACTGATAGGCCTGGAAGTGGCCTCAGAGGACAGAGACCTGCACTGAAGCACAAAATCATTGTGGTGGCCTCCTAGACAAGTGGCATAGGCTCTGGAGTCTTTCCAACCTGACTTTGTCACAGCTGTGTGATTTTAACAAGTCACTATATCTCTCTGAGCTCCAGTTTCATCTGTAAAACAGAGATTATATCAGTCAGGATGGGTTAAGTTATGCTGCAGTAACCAACCATTCCAAAATCCCAGTGGCTTATAATAACAAAGGTGATTTCTCATTCAAGCCTCATGTCCACTGTAATTTGGGTCAGCTAAGGTTCTGCTCCCTGCTATCTTCACTCTGGGACCCAGGCTGATGGAGCAGCTGCCTTCCAGGGCCTTGTTCGTCACTGTGGTAGAAGGAAGGAGAGAGTGATAAATCGTGGACTAGCTATTAAATGCTATGGCCTGTACTAACTTCTAATTACAACTAATTGGCTGGAATTAGTTGTATGGCCCTATCCATCACAAGGAGGCAGAGAGGTATAATGGTACCACGTGCAGAGAGCTGGAGAGCCAGAAATATCTGGTGAACAGCATAGAGGCCCCCCGGCATGGTTGCTGTAAAAACGCGATGAGAAGTTGCTAGAGCAGGAGCAGCCATGCAATGAGCTCAATCCATGTTAGCCATTAAAAGTGCTGCCTTGGAATTCTGATTTGCTTTTTTATTTACCCTCCATGATTTCTTCTGACTTCCTCATCAGTTCCAGCTGTTTACAGCTGCACAGACAGAGAGGAAATGGACTATGGACTTGCCAGGGTTCACACAGAGAACCAGTAGCTGGACCTTCAGGTCTCCGGACTCCAAATTCTGAGCTCCTCCCACCTGACGGTGGAGGGAGAGAAGCTCTGCCTACTGGGCTTCTCTGTGAGGGTTGTTGACTGAGACTGTGACAGTCTTTTGAGAGATCCCACAGCCTGTGCCCAGAGCTGTTCTCTCGGCCTTCCCAAGCCTTCCTGCTCAGCCAGAGCGGAGAGTCGAGGGGGTGGAACAATGAGGAGTCTGTGCCGCGCTCGGGGGCTGGAGTCCGAACATTGCAGCCATTCCTACGCAGGGACCCTGCACATTCCCGCCTCCTGTCCTCCTGTTCTGGGCCAAACCCAGACACGCTTGTCCTTCCCCGTCCTGACAGCTCTCAGATGGTGAGAAAGCTCCCAGGACTCTGCAAAACCTTCCAAAGCATTTTAAAAACCTGCACACAGCCCAACCCCCAGGAAGCCTCTAAGCCTCTCTAAAATCTTGGTCTCTAAGCAAACAGGCAACCCCTGGCAAGACTTCCAAAGAGACTGGCCTCATTCACCCAACAAGCAAGCTTTCAAGGAGGCCCTGCCCTGTGCCAAGCAGGCTGCGGGTGGAGCTGAGAAGATGCAGTCACTTCTCTCCACTGATATGTGAACAAAATCACAAGATTAGGGCTGTAATAGGGAAAGCTGCTGGTGGGGTCAGGGAAGGCTTCCTGGAGGAGGTGGCAACTGGAAGATCATCAGGTTCTCTCCCTGGGTCTAAACCTTACTTAAAAAGTCACTTTCTGGCCGGGCGCGGTGGCTCACGCCTGTAATCCTAGCACTCTGGGAGGCCGAGGCAGGCGGATTGCTCAAGGTCAGGAGTTCGAAACCAGCCTGAGTGAGACCCCGTCTCTACTAAAAATAGAAAGAAATTAATTGACCAACTAAAAATATATTTACAAAAAATTAGCCGGGCATGGTGGCGCATGCCTGTAGTCCCAGCTACTCGGGAGGCTGAGGCAGAAGGATCGCTGAGCCCAGGAGATTGAGGTTGCTGTGAGCCAGGCTGACGCCACGGCACTCACTCTAGCCTGGGCAACAAAGTGAGACTCTGTCTCAAAAAAAAAAAAAAAGTCACTTTCTGATTGTTCAATCTCCCCTCCCACCACTTGCTCGCTAGCGTTCTGTGCTTCACCCACACCACTCACAGTCTCAAAAAGGACGGTTCTCTCTGGCCTCCAGGGCTCTGCATTTGCAGGCCTCTTCTCCCTTTACAGGGCGAACTCTTATTCAGCCTTCAGAACCCAGATTAGTAGTCACATCTTCCAGGGAGCCTTCCTTGACAACCCCCTTCCCCAAGAGTAAGGAGCTTCTTCAGGTCTGTTTTTGGTTTCCCATACATCCTTCTCTTGCTGCAGTTATAGTTTTATAATTTATCTGTTTACACATCTCTCTGCCCTACCAGTTTGTGAGCTCTTTTTTTTTAAAAGCCAGTCAAATTTAGCAGTGGGGAGTTGAATACCAACTTTAGTGACACTAATGTTAGTAAGTTCTGCTAGCCCACTACCATCAGACCAGCCTGTGAGCTTTAATTCAGGGACTACCTCTTTGCATTGTTGGTGCCAGGCCTAGTGCCAGGCCAGGGCAGTACTTAGCATGCCTCTGTGGCATTCACGAGGATAGCTATGTCATACACAGCATGCAAACAGTGATTTCTCCCCACCTTTGACATTTGCCCCCACCCAGTGGGCTGGCAGGGCAGGAGTGATATGACACTAAACAGGTCTCTACAGAGAACCTGACATGAGCTGAGCACAATGCCGGGCACTGGCAGGGGACACTTATGTGGGCTTTAATCATCTGTGATGCTCAGTGCCTGGCACACAAAAATGTTTGGTGGATTCAGTTGTGCTTCTGAGAGCTCAGGAAAATTGCTCAAGGATGAGCAATTTAAATTAACACTTTTGTACAATTTATTATTATCAGGCCCTGACCTCAAGTTGCTCCTAATCCAGTCATCTGGCATGCCCTGGCAGATGGAAAAACCCTGCTTCCATGGGCAGTGGCCTGTTTCTGTAGGCTCTGCCATATGGGTCAACCTCCCCTCCCCCACTGCATTGCTTTTACTGTCCCATTTGAGACATTTCTTTTTTTTGAGACAGAGTCTCACTGTTGCCTGGGCTAGAATGCTATGGCATTGGCCTAGCTCACAGCAATCTGAAACTCCTGGGCTCAAGCAATCCTTCTGCCTCAGCCTCCCAAGTAGCTGGGACTACAGGCATGCGTCACCATGCCCGGCTAATTATTTCCATATATGTTTTTAGTTGTGTGGCTAATTTCTTTCTATTTTTAGTAGAGACAGGGTCTCACTCTTGCTCAGGCTGGTCTTAAACTCCTAAACTCAAACAATCCACCCACCTTGGCCTCCTAGAGTGATGGGATTACAGGTGTGAGCCACTGTGCCCAGCCCCTGAGACATTTCTTTTTAGTATTTAGAACCAGAAAATTTATCTTTTATGAAGAGTTAATCTCTCCCTTCTATCACATAACAAGCATAAAATTATCTCTTTGTGTTTCCCTTTTCCCTCTGGCTGCCAGGAAGCTCAGAGACAAGTAATAATAACAATATTACAGTATGAGTCAGAGTAAGATTATTTCCTTCTCACTCCCATATATGTGGCTCCTTCAGCTGAAACCCTCTTGGGTCCTTTATGGGAAGACCAGGTGTAAATAAATAAATCAAAAGAGAAGACCAGGTTTGAAAACTCAGGGATTGGGTGTGAATCCCTCACCCTCCCTGAGCCCCAGATTCCTTGTCAGCAGCCCAGGGTGGGGAACCTTGGTGCAGCCAGCCCTTGGGTGGAGGCAGCTCTCCTGTGAGGAGGGTTGGCCAGCCACTTGGAGGCCTTGGGCAGGGTCATAGTCAACACCCTCCCTACCAGGGCTGTGAAGC